GATGGATGGATGGATGGATGGATGGATGGGAAGATGGGTGGATGGGTGGATGGGCGGATGGGCGGATGGGTGGATGGATGGGCAGATGGGCGGATGGATGGATGGATGGATGGGAAGATGGGCAGATGAGCGGATGGATGGATGGATGGATGGATGGGTAGATGGGTAGATGGGCGGATGGATGGATGGATGGGAAGATAGGCAGATGAGCAGATGGATGGATGGATGGATGGATGGATGGATGGATGGGAAGATGGGAGGATGAGCGGATGGATGGATGGATGGATGAATGGATGGATGGGTAGATGGGCTGATGGGCGGATGGGCGGATGGGCGGATGGATGGATGGATGGATGGATGGATAGATGGATGGATGGGCAGATGGGCAGATGGATGGATGGATGGATGGATGGATGGATGGATGGATGGGAAGATGGATGGATGAGCGGATGCATGGATGGATAGATGAGTAGATGGGTGGATGGGCGGATGGATGGATGGATGGGCAGATGGGCAGATGGATGGATGGATGGATGGGCAGATGGGCAGATGGATGGATGGATGGATGGGCAGATGGGCAAATGGATGGATGGATGGGCAGATGGGCAGATGAATGGATGAATAGATAGATGGGCGGATGGGCGAATGGATGGATGGGTGGGCGGATGGGCGGATGGATGTGTGGATGGATGGATGAGGGGATGGGAGGATGGATGGCTGAATGGATGGATAGATGGGCAGGTGCACGGATGGATAGATGGATGGATGGATGGATGGATGGATGGATGGATGGTTGGATGGATGGATGGAAGAGCAGATATATTGGTGGGCAGATGGATGGTTGGAGAGGTGGATGGATGGACAGGTCCCAGAAGTGTAACTGCTGTAATTGTGTTGATAAGTATACGAGTGTCTGTAGAACATCCATTTTATAAACAGTGTCAAAGTGCTTTGTTCCCCTTGCAATAAAGAAGCAAGGTGTGTGACCTGATGGGACCTCGGCCCCGGCTGCCGGTTGTTGCATTTGGCTTTGGACTAATTCTTCTCACCATGAGCCTCAGGGTCCTGAGACTAGGGACCGTGGCCCCAGGCAGGGTGAAGGCAGAGCCCCAAGCAGTTTATCATGTTGGTTGGCTGTTTCCTGGAGTCTCAGGAAACTCTAGAAGATGTTTTGTGTCCGTCTGGGAGTGGAGGGCAGACTCAGAGCGGTGGGACATCTGCTGTCCTGTCTCGGGAGCCTCTGAAGCCGAGGGCAGCCGGAGGGTGGGTGAGGTGCACACCACCGGCCTCGGGTACCTGCTCCTGCACCTTAGGCCTGCTGAGCCCCTGTGGGGAGCTGCTGGGTTTCCTGGCCTCGGGGGATCCGGTGTGCACGCTCCCGTGTGGGCTTGGCTGCTTCCTGCTGGGTGACAGCCACTCCTGTGACAGCGCCGGGAGCAGGGGCTGCGGGTGGCGTCACTCCTGGGCCTGCAAGGGCACCCGGTGCCTGTGCGCATGTCCGGCTTTCCCAGAGAAGTCTGGTGTTCCGAATGCTTGCCAGTTGGCTCTTTGTGATGACTTAATCTCATTTTAATGGTGAATAAGCTCATTATTCAAAAAATTAAGGAGTTGTGGCTAAAGATCAATAGTAGGCACTGTGTTATTTGCAGTATAATTTGGAAATGAATTGGAATTTTCAGGATGAAAATTGTATCTACAAACACATCTTCTTGAGGGCAGTAATTAAATAAACATACTGCAGCTCTCTTTGTGAAAAGTTGGAGCACAGCCCTCACTTTCCGGCGCTGGAGAAGATACTAAAGACAGAATCATCCCTTTTGTATTATTTTATTTTATTTTTTTCAGTCCTGGGGATTGAATTCAGGACCTTCACCAAGCTACATCCCCAGCCCTTTTTTATTTTGAGACAGGCTCTTGCTAAGTGGCCAAGATGCCAGGGATGGGCTCAAATTCACCAACCTCCCGCCCCAGCCTCCCACCGTGCTGGGATTATAGGCGTGCACCACCAAGCCCAGCTTTTTTCATTTGCAGGCATGCCATGGTACCCGACTGCTTTAAAACTTCCCTACTTCAGCGCTTAATCCATTTTGAGTCAGAAGTTCAGCCGAGTACTCCCAGGTACTGGGTGCACAAGCCGGAGCTTGTGGGAGCCGATGACCTTTGACTCGATACCCTTCCCAGGCAAAACGGTTGGGCACCTGTCATCCCCGTACCGGCTGTGCCTCTCAGAGCCAATGAGCAGTGAGTCCAGGGTGCCCCGTTCAGGCGCCGGTGCCAGCACGCTTGACTCTGAATCGTTTGAGACTCACCCTTCCCCCTAACCCCCAGGGTCTGTCCCTAAAAATGGGATTATTCACTTACATAGCCCAGTACCATCGTGAAAATCAGGGAAATGGTCACAAAGCGCAGTTTTTATCCTGCAGACCATGTTCGCGTCTGCCCGGCCGTCCCTGCGTGACCTCCATGAGATCCTTTTTCTTGCTGGGAGCCTCTCTCATTTCCTGGACTGTGGCACATTCCCAGCCACCAAGCACGTGTGCTGACTGGACAGCCTGTCCGGAGGAGACATCCCGCACGCAGCCGCCTCGTGGCAGCGTGAGCAGAGGGTTAGCGGGGTGGGGACTTGCCTGGCGCTCCGGCCACTCAGGGTTGGTGTCCGTGACAGTCTGCATTGCGAGGTGTGCCTGTGCCAGCTTTGCCCAGCTGCACGGACCACGGGGGACAAGAAGCCCGCTCCTTGTGCATTCTGAGACCCCTCCCCTCCCGGCCATCGTGGGTGTCCTTGTTGTGCGGGGCAGGACTTCCAGGATGCCCTGGGAGAGGCGCGTGTGCCCCTGCCCTCCGCAGCCCAGCCTGCAGGAGCTTGTCCTAGAGACGTCAGGGCAGCCGCTCAGACACGCGCCCTGCTGTGGGCCTGAAGGGCTGAGCAGCTGCCAGCACAGCGATGTAGCCCAGCCTGGGCCATTGCTGTGGTTTCCATGGAGCCTCAGCAGAACTTTTCAGGGAAGGAAAGAGAAACTAGTTACCAGAAACGGTGCGGGCAGCTGTGCACTGCTCTGCCTCTGTGTGCGAATCGCCCTGAGGCTTGTCTTAGACACAGAAATAGAGCCGTGTTTCCGTCCATCACCAAGCACTGGAGCAGCTGGGTTGCATAGCACCAGAAACGGTGAAAAGGGACCGCCTGCTGTCCGGGAGCTCCCAGACGGAGGGGCGGCCATTCCCAGTGGCACCAGCAGGAGGCGCTGTGTGTCCATGGTGGCGGGGATGTCCTGTCACAGGGAGCCCCAGAGCAGCTCTGAGGAGTGGAGGGTTAGGGTTAGAGTCAGTGTGCCTTCCTGCAGCTCCTCAGAGTTGAGACCTGGGACAGCTGAGGACAGAGGGGTCCCGAGACCTGTTGCCGTCACTGTCATGCGAACGTCCCGTTCATCTTCAGGAAGGATAATGTGATGCAGCGCGGTAGGCGCTGTTGAAACAGCAGGTGATAGAGGCGGGAGCGGGCGGGGACTTCATTAGGTAGCACCTCACCCGCAGTCCTGGGTGGGATGCGGGAGCGGTGGACTGAGAGACCGGCGGAAGAAGAGGACTGGAAATGTTGGGATTCAGAGAAGAGAAGAATTACAGGCTCTCTTGTCGCCGTGCAAGTAAGGTGGGCAGTTTCTCCGCCGGTCCGGTTTTGCAGCGCGGCTGACGCGAAGGTAGAGGCCTAAAGCCTGACTGCGGGTCGGTCTTCGGGAAGGGGGAAGGGCAGGCCGTGTGGCCATGGACAACTGCAGTGGGAATCTAAACAGCACTTGGTAGCCTGTGGGCCTCCCGAGCGCACAGCCGGGCTGCCTGTTGGGTGCCAGTGCCCTCGCCCGCCGGTGTGCCCACGAGGGAGGAGTCCGATACCAGGAGTCCCTCGGGGAAGGGCATGATGGTGTCAGCAGCGCAGACCTCCTCTGGATTTAGCGGAGGACGCCGTGCCGGCCCCCAGGATAGTGGGGGGGGGTTCGTGTGCTGCCAAGCGGGAGTGGTAGCAGAATGTCCCGTCACCCCCAGGCTTCCTGTTCTCACGTCTTACGCACCCAGTGCATGGGGGAAGCAAGACCTGCCCTCACCGTGAACACAAGGGCAGGGGCTTAGGGACAGCTGCAGCTGAGAGGAGGTCGGTTCTGTGGAGGCCAAATTCCACTGGGAAGCCCGATTTCTGTGGTACTGGTGATGAAAGCCAGGGCCTTTGCACTGAGCTACAGCCCCAGCCCCTTTTCAAAGTTTATTTATTATTATTATTATCTTTTAAATTCTGAGACGGGGTCTTGTTAAGTTGTCATGGCTAGGTTGGAACATGTGATCCTCCTGCCTCAGCCTCCCGGAGTGCTGGGATTCTTGTGTGCACTACCACGGTGGCGTTGGTGGCAGCAGTCTCAGCCAGGCCCCTCACTCCAGCTGCACGCAGTGAGCACGAGGGCCTCCCTGCTGCTGCCCTCAGACAGGCTCAGGGAGCCGGGCCACTATCCCAGAGACCTCCTGACTCGGCAGCCAAACCCTGCCAAGGGCTCAGCGGTGATCGCCTTGTAAAAATAGCGCAGGGCCTGCTCTCAGCCTTCCCACCCCCAGCTGTCTGCAGAGCAAGAAGTTCCTGGGCGGGCAGCCTGGTCCCTGAGGTGCCCGGCCTGACCCCGAGTCCCCTCCTGACACCCACCCAGAACCTGGGTCCTCAGGCCCCCGTGCTGGAAGCTCCTGGCACTGACATCTTTTCTCAGTCACTTCCGGGGGCAGACGCTCTCCTGGGCAGCAGGCGGCTGGGATTCTACGACTCCAGGAGCCTCTTGTGAACACCGGTGCAAGCTGGGTTCTAATCCCAGGCCCAGGAGGAGGTGTCCTGAGGGAGGCAGAGGGGCAGATGCGCATGGACTGCAGCTCCCAGGAAAGGCCTATGAGCTGTGACCACCTGGCGGAGCGTCCCTGTGTCTGCCGTGGGCCCATGTCTCCAGGAAGTTCCAGCCTGGGGCGGGCATCATCTCAGGGCTCCTCTTGAAGAGGGACGGACGGGGCCTCTTGGAGCTGCTGTCCCTGGGAGCTTAGGACCCCAAAGGCTCACTGACGAGTGGGATTGCAGCCTGATCCAACTCCAGAGCTCCTTACCCAGAATCGCCCTGTGCTGAGCAGGTCTCACTCAGCGGTGACTGCCCAACGTGGGGCACACTCTCCCAGCTGTCCCCTTGGCATGGGTGAGGACAGTGAGTCTAGGGCGGTCGGTGACCTGGGCGAGGTCCACCGCACACCGCTGGCTGGGCATGGCGGCAATGTGGCATGTAGCGTCCACTTCATCCTCTATGCCCGGGACCCTGGGCTCCCCCACAGCTCTCCCCGAAACAGCCCTGGGCAGGACAGGAGACTCAGAGAAGCATGAACCCCGCGCTTACACGTGACCGTCCTGGAGGGGACGGCGTGTGCTGGAATTGCAGGGGCACTCGTTCACAAACGTGGGGAAGAAACAGCGCCCAGAAGCACTGACTTGGGAGCGATGGCGGTGCTGCTGCGGGAGGTGCTGGGTAGCACGCCCGCGCACAGGGTGGTTTGGACACGTTTGTGTTCTCCAGACTCCAGCTTTGCTTCTCTGTCAGAGCATTTGAGCCAGGACCGTTCTTAGCGGAGAACAGAGGCACTCTTTCTGGGCTGCCCTGGGGTTTGTGCCCACGGACTGACTCCGTGTGATGACCGACCGTCACTGCACGTCTGACCTGTTAGGTGGCAGCGTACATCACTGGGCAACGTGTCAGTTCTCAAAAAGAGGTGGGCGTTCCTCTGTGAATGAGGAGTTGAAAGCAGGTCCCACGGGGACCCGAGGCCCCACTGCAGGGCGCTGGCGTCCCTGGCCGCTCCTGCTGCTCAGGGAAGAGGCCTCCTTGCTGAGCTCACTCAAGTCCCAGTGGCTCCGCCCACTTCCAGCCCTGGGGTGACAGTGGACGCTCCAGGCCAGTTCCTGCCCGGCCCACACCCTGTGCAGCAGGGGCTGTCCAGTGGGAACCCACCGCTGTCCAACTTCCCTCTAGGAAAACTGGGCTCATGGCACCTGCCGGGACAGAGCCGGGGAGGACAGGGTGGGGCCTGGCCCAGCCCCGGCACCGGCTCTGCCCTTGCCCGGATGTTGGCCCTTAGGGGAACACAGATGCGTTGGAGGTTTGGGCGGATCCGGGAGCGCAAGTGCTCCGGCCCTGAGCTGCCCGTTGGGTTCTTGCTGCTCGGAGAAAACGAGGAGCCAGGCTTTTCCTGGCCGGTCAGCTGTGTGTTGCTGCTGCTGCTGCTGCTGTCCTCGGCCTCACCCGGGGCTGTGGAGCAGAGTGGGAGAGGAGCATGTGTGCGATTGCATCAGCCGGGGAGGATAGCACTGGGCTGCAGTTTGATTTATGACCTAAGGGGCAAGTGTGGGGCAGCCGGGCCGGTGGCAGAGGCAGCCGGGTGGTCAGAGCACAGCCAGCCAGGACTGGCAGCCGCACCGGGACGGGGAACCCGGCCTGCGGGGTCAGTGGGCAGCAACCACGGGCAAACTTCTCCGCGGCAGGCAGTCGCAGTTTAAAATGCCGTCTTGTCCCTCTGGTTGTTTTTTCCATGCGGCTGAGGTAAGACTTTAACTTTTCAAACAGTCCCATCCCCACCGGTGTCACAGCCGGGAGAGGCTGTGTTCAGGTCCTCTGGGATCCCTCTGCCCCATCCTCGCCTGGAGCTGTCGGGTTCCGCGGCTCTGAGCAGCGCCTTGGGAGCAGGCCGAGCCCTTCCTGATCGTTCTTCCTTTGCTCCTTCGGTTGGGTTAAACACTAGTACTTCTGTGTTCATTTTCCCACTTCCTCCTGGGAGGAAGGGAGGCTCGGGGCGTGGAGGCAGGTGGGGAGCAGCGCAGTGCGGAGAGAAAACGTTAGGGTGGGAAGCGGAATCAGGAGGGCAGGTCTTTCTCCTGCGGTGCTGGTCCTGCGCTCGGTTCAAGTGCCGCTTTCCAGCCCTGAGACCACCAGCTGCCTCTGGGTGGATTCCGCGCTCCCAAGCCCGCGGCTTGCTTGGCTGTGTGGTGTGTGCTCCCGGGAGGCCACGGCAGGGTTGAAGAATGTTGTGTTGTCAGCCTGCCTGCCTGCCCCTCCGAGGTAGGAAAGGTGAGGACAGAGGGCCAGCCAGGAGAGCCGAGGAGCCCCTCTCCTGGGTCACTGCAGTTGCGCAGAACGGTTTCCTGTGGGGTAGAGCACAGCTGCTTTTATGATTTCTGGGGTATTTTGCCTTTTTTTTTTTTTTTTTTCTCTTGAGAGTGCAGCGTCATTCATCCACACATGTCTCTTTGGTGTGTTGCAGAATATTAAGATCTTTACCGAAGATGGGTCTGGCAAAGTGATCGAGATCCTAACCGACATGACGGCCAGGGACCTGTGCCAGCTGCTGGTGCACCGGAGTCACTGTGTGGATGACCACAGCTGGACAATAGTGGAGCACCACCCGCACCTGGGATTAGGTAGGAGCCGCCCGGAGACGCCGCCGTCCCCGACTGTTGGCGGGCAGTTCCTGTCCTCCCTCATGCGTCCTGCCTCTTCTTTCTGCTAAGTTCACTTGCCCTCTGCCCAGCCCTGTCCGCTCTGGTGTCTTGGGAGTCCCGCCTTGTCCTGGACTCAGAGCTGCGAGGCGGCTCCCCGTGCTCCGGCTGTTCCTGCTCGTCCGTTGTCAGAGCCCGGGGCGCTCCCTGCACCTTGTGGGCTGGAGAGGGAGGGGCACCCACCCTCACACGAGGAGTGGCTCATCCAAAGGGTGGGAGGAGAGGGCCCTTCCCGAGGCAGGGGCGCAGGAGTCCCCAGGGACCAGAGCTCGTTACAAGGCAGTGACCCCTGAGTTTGTGCTCCTGTAGCTATCTCTGAGCTGGTCACTGAAGCCTGGGCAGTGTCGTCTTATGCCCGGAGAGCAGGATGTTGTTTTATGTCACAGATTGTTTGAAAATACGTACTCTTGCTAGAGCAGAGCTATACTGTGTGCCTTGCCCGGAGGGTCTGTTTCTGGGACAGAAATGCCTTGGCTTTACTGGCTAAGGGCCCAGCCTCAGCCCCACTGTGGATGCGGGGTCCCCTCTGTGGAGCCCACCTCAGACGTGCCTGGGTCCTCCAGCGCCCCATCAGGCTCCCCATGCCCCCCTCCTCAGCCTTGCGGGGGCAGGGAAGTGACTGTCTTGGGTGGTTACCCGTCGGGATCCTCACAGCGGCGCAGACACCCGGGGCTGGCGGCTCGGGCCAAAGGGAGGTGGTGCCTGCCGATCCCCAGCCAGGGCCTTTCCCCGGGCTGGCACCGGGCAGCTGCATTCACTGTGTTTTTGTCGTAAAGACACTCAGGGAAGAGCACTCCAGAGCTGCTTTACATCGTGGCCAGAGCGCTGGGATGAGCGCTGTGAAGGGAGAGGGAGGGTTTTAAGGGGGAAGCGCCAGTGCGCCATGTAAACACCGCGGCCTGTACATCCGACCGCGCTGCGCTCGGTCCCGTGGGGAAAGCTGCACAGCGCAGTGGGTGTGGGCCTCGGTGTGGAAGCTGAGCCCGCCCCGTCTCCCTGTGCCTCAGACACATCACGTTCCCTGAGCACTTCCGGCCGCCAAGGGCCATGGAAGCAATCGCCCTCCTGCCTGTGACCCTGTCCCCGCCCGTCCTGCCTCAGCCATACTTGCTCAGTTGCTTCCCTCCTTCCTTGCTTCCCCGTGTGTCCCACATGTCACAGCATGTGAGCTCCTCCCTGACATGTCATTGTCACCCAGTGTGAAAAAGAGGCTGTAAAAGCCTGTGCTGGTCTGAATTCAGTATCTGATGTATTTTAAGATCTCTCAGGCCCTGGGCAGTACATGAAAAAGGGATTTAAACCTAGCTTAGTTCCGTGGGTAAAGACAGGAAGTCTGGCCGGGTTGTAATGTGTGTAAAGGAAGCTGCCTCACGTGACACTTCTCCCCCTGCAGAAAGGTGCTTGGAAGACCATGAGCTGGTGGTGCAGGTGGAGGGCACCATGGCAAGTGAGAGCAAATTCTTGTTCAGGAAGTACTATGCGAAGTACGAGTTCTTTAAGAATCCGATGGTGAGTGTTCTGTCTTTACATTTTGGGTGTGGGATTCTTGAAATCTTAAAGTCTGTGCTCTGATGGGACCGTGTCAGATGAGGACATCGCTAACTGGGATTTGCAGGGCAGTGGACGGGTTTGCGGATCTAGGTTGCTACTGAATGAGATGATCTTGCTCAGAACAGTGGTGCTTACCTAAATGGCACCGTGGCCATCCTGAAGGTGGCCGTCCTTCCTCAAATAGCAGCAGCGGGAAGGGTTTTGGTCAGAGCGTCACAGAAGAGAGGAGAGGCCGGGCTTTCCCGGTTCTTTGGAAAGCTCTTTTCTTGAAAATTTTTTTATTAGTCCTAGTTGGCTGTGCGTACCGGTCACATTCACCGTGCGGCAGTGCTACGTGAACATACACATCTCGATTCTTCTTCGTCTCCTTCCTCTCCCTCCTTCCCACCTTCCTGTCTAGATTCTTTCCCATCTGCAAAAGACCTGTCTCTCTGTTTCCTATTATGTGTCATTTATTTTGCTGTCTAACTTATTTATAACCTGGGTTTCTCACATAAGAGAAAACTGCGTGGTAGTTAAGCCTGTGTGTCTGATCTATTTTCCTTAACATTATGGTCTCAAGGTGCGTCCATTTTCCTGAGTGACTCAAGTGTATCCTTCTTTGTAGCTGAGTAATACTCCATGGTGTATAAATACCACATTTTCTTTTGCCATTCGTCTGTTGTACTTAGAAAATCCTTAGTCAAACTGGAACGAACTGGTCAGATACTTAGGAGGGAAAAATGCTCCTTTTCTGCAAATGTATCTTGTGGTTGTGTGTGGAAGAATTGACTGGAGTGCTGCTGTCAACTCCTTGGGTTTTTTCCTCTTGTATGTTGAGGAGCCGCTTGTCCTGTGACACGCCAGCCAGGAGACCTCATAGCTGTGGAGCATTCGCTCTTCTCCTGAGGCGTGGAGCCAAGGGGCAGCAGCTTGGGAAAAACACGCAGGTCCCCTTAGGGCTCTGCTAAGTCAGTGGCTTTCTCATTAGGAAGGAAGACACCTGGCAGGTCTCTCTAGGTCACTGGGCAGAAAGGGCTTTTGTGAGCAGTGGTGCTCACCAGGTGGCTCGGGAATTCTTTATCTCCTGTCACCGAATTATGATTCTGGTGCTGCAGTCCCTGCTGGGAAGCGTGAATTCCATAGGAACCACAGTAGATGCCCCCAAAGCACACCCAAAGTAGGACACGGCTGAGCACAGCGTGTTGAAGTAGGTGTCCCCGCTGTGTGAGGGAACGGAAGGGCCTGTGGTTTAAAAATGCAAACATGCACCATCATGCTTCGGGGGTGCTTCTGACCTGCGGACTGGTGTGCCCCCTCTCCTCCCCGCCCCCCCACACTTTGAAGCTAGCCTTGCACATTGTGATTTTCTGTCTCCTTAGAACTTCTTCCCAGACCAGATGGTCACTTGGTGCCAGCAGTCCAACGGAGGTCAGACCCAGCTGTTACAGGTACTGAGCAAACACCGGAGTTTGTGCACGATCGCTGCCGGGGGAAATTCTCAGAGCTGTGGGGGGTCAGGCTGACCAGAACTCAGGGTGTGCTGAGGAAATCTGTGTGGAGCAGGCTCCTTCGTGGCAGCAGCGGGGGGCACCTGCTTGGGCGCAGGAGCAATCTGAGTGGCGCCACTGCCTGGTGCTGTCCCAGGGCAGGATGGAGCGGCTGCGGCCCGCCCTGAGCCTGGGTCCCCCAACAGGCACTGCCACTAACTGGAAAACTGCTACGAAAACACGGAGCCCTCTTCACAGAGAAAATGATTCGGTTTCTGCAGAGTCCTGTAGAAGTAACTACTATGCGTTAAAATTAAGGAAACCAGTTTGAACTGTCCCTCTGTCTTGTAAAGTCTAAGAAAACCTGGTCTTTCCACCTCCCTTCTGGGGACACAGAGGCAGTGGGCTTAGTTAGTACTCACTGAGTTCCTTCCGGGGGGTGCAGATCAGAAAGGGAAACAAGAGCTTCACTGCCACCACGCCCCTTCTCCTCAGTGAAATGCCACCTGCTCTTTTCTCTCAGCACTGGGGATTGAACCCAGGACCTGGGGACTGAGCTCTTTCCCAGCCCTTTTTACTGTGTACTTTGAGATGAGATCTAAGTGGCCATCCTCCTGCCTCAGCCTCCCTGCATGCTGGGGTGATAGGTGTCCCCCACCACGCCCACCTGGCCACTTCCTTTTCCCTGTGTTGACTGTGAGAGGATCTGTGCGCATGGTGAGGTAGCCAGTGACCCCTGGACACTCTCACGGGACTGTGCCCAGGGCCTGAGGGCCGCCACCTGCAGGGAGGGAGCTGTGTGCTCCCAGGCCAGGCAGAGGACACACCAAGGTCATTTGTGACCTGGCTCTTGGCCTCTCTTTCCCGTACATGTGTGGGGGGTTTTTTAAACCTTTATTCATATGGCTGCTTGGAGGTAGAGTTACGTGGGACAGGGAGGTATCACCGAGGTGCCCTCCCCGTAGGGAGAGGCGCCCTGGCCGGCCCCAAGTCAGGAAGGCACTGGTCAGAGCGGCAGTGAGGTGCTCGGCCACGGTGCCCCACTCTGATGGCTCCTGCCCCTTGCTCTTCCTAACGAGAGATGTTCCAGAAATTAAAAATAAGCCACAAAGTCCTGCGCTGTCCTCTCGCGCAAGGAAACGTACGTGCATTTTCGTTGATGGCAGCAGGCGCCGCCTGCTCGCCTGCGCCTCTTTCTGACCACGCCCTGCACTGTGGCACGTACACGGGGTCTGGCTCTGGAAAGTGGAGGGCTCTCTGACCGACTGACACGGACAGGAAGGGAGGGTATTTCAACGATTTGGGAAATGCCAGCTATGCGGACGACCATACCTGTTTTAATTGTTTTATCCAGCATCTGATTTCTTACGATTTACCCTTCCCTAGAACTTCCTGAATGCCAATAGCTGTCCTGAAATCCAAGGCTACCTGTACGTGAAGGACCTGGGGAGGAAGTCGTGGAAGAGAATGTACATGTGCTTGCGGAGGTCGGGCCTCTACTTCTCCACCAAAGGGACCTCCAAGGTAGGCTTTCCGTCCTCCGCCCGAGGCTCGGAGTGCACTTCCTGTCGGCGGGAGGCCCGGCCTGGGCCAGCTGGCGAGGGCTTACCGACGGGCTCCTGGGGAGGGGCTGAGCAGCGAAGCAGCTGCTGGCCCAACCGCCAAGCGGGTGCTCGTGCAGCCTTGGGTGCCTAGGGCGTACCCCCACTGCAGAGACTGACTTGGTTGTCTTGACTTGGAAGCTGGGACACAGGCCGGCCGTAAGGGGCCGGGGCTCGCGGCGCCCCTCGGGGCAGTCGTGCTGTTGCGGCTGCTATCTGCTGTCTGCCGTCAGCAGCAGTTTGCATCTGTGCCCTGGGGGAAGAAGAGGTGTGAGGTAGCTGCAGAACTCAAAAGCAGGCTGGTGACCTGCAGACCTGGCCAGGTCCTCCGTGTCGGCACGGGGCGCCCACACTTTCCCTTGTGAGCACCCACGCGTGCCAAGACTTTGGGGTGGGGGCCAGAGAGAAGGGGGTCGTCCTGCGGGGGGCAGAGCAGGGGAGCTTCCCGACCTTCCCACTCTGCTTCACGGCTTCCTCCGCGTCCCGTCCCTGCTGAAGTCGGGAACAGTTTGTGGTTCCGAAAAGGAAGCAGGCTTGGCGGGAGCGGCCGGGAGAAGGTGGTGTGTGTTAGTCACCCTCCACCCCGGGGAGAACACTTCACACCGCAGCATCAAGGAGAGGCTGATTTTGGCCCATAGTTTTCCTCCGTGGTCAGCTGGCTCCCAGACAGGAGCAGACGGCAGAGGGGAGGGAAAGGCTCCACCCATGGCAGCCTGGAAGGAGAGAGAGGGGAGGAGCCGGGGATGAACACACAGCCTTCCAGTTGCACCCAGCAACCACCTCCGGCCAGAGTCAGCCCTGAGGGAGAACCCACTGATGGGCACGCCGCCCGGCCACCACCACCTTCCGCATACGGGAGGTCAAGCGTGGGCTGTGGCCCAGCCACCTTGCGCCTGCGAATTTGAGAGCTGGGGTTTGCGTGGCTTTGGATCTAATTTAGCCCTGACCTCAGGCCTCGGGCACAGCCTCTGAGCTGGCAGGGGAAGGTGGTTTGAAGATGCCCGGCTGCCCGTTGCTCTGAGACAGCGGAGCCTTGTGCTTTGCCACGCTGGGGAGGTGCCCGCGCTTACACATGGCCCCGTGTCCACAGGAACCCAGGCACCTGCAGCTGCTGGCTGACCTGGATGACAGCACCGTGTACTTCGTCATCTCCGGGAAGAAGCAGTACAATGCCCCCACGGACCACGGGATCTGCATCAAGGTGCGCGCCGTGCCCGAGGCCGATGCAGGCCAGGGCCAGGGTCCAGTCTGGGTTCTGGCGCTGGGTGGCTGCTGCTTGTCGTTGTTTTTCATATTTTGCAGCTCTGGAGGTGAGCCCAGGGCCTTTGTCCCACGCTGAAGCCCTGCCCTTCTCATTTGTAATCTTGAGACAAGGTCTCGTTAAATTGCCCAGGCTGGGTTCAGCCTCCCAGAGTGCTGGGGTTCCAGGGAAGCACGCTGCACCCTCTGTTTCTGGTGTTTTTAACTGGAGCGCAGTTGCACTCTGGATTTATCCATTCCTGTAAAACCGTTAGTGTGTGTTTTTGACAGGTTAGTCCCTGAGTGCCTTCAGGCCAGGCACCTCGTGCCCGGGGGCTGGGCTGGGGCTGTAGTTCAGGAGGGAAGAGAGGAAAGCCCTGGTGGCCTTGGGGTAGTGAGCGGCTGGCACCTTCTGTGGGCCTCTGGTCACAAGCACGGTCACGCAGGAATGACCACGCGTTGCCCACCCTCCGTGTGCATGCGCACTTCCCCCTCACCGTGCTGTGCTGACTGCGCTCTCTCTGGCCTCCAGCCGAACAAGGTCAAGAATGAAACCAAGGAGCTGAGAATGCTGTGTGCTGAGGACGAGCAGGGCCGTGCGTGCTGGATGACGGCCTTCAGGCTCCTCAAGGTAGCGGGCCGGGGCCGGGCCGGGCCGGGGTCTGTCTGGCATGCGTTGCCCGTGACGCTCCCTAACCTCTGTCACTTGTGGGTCGTGTCCTTCTCAACGGGCGCTGGGGAGCGGCTCAAGGGCCTCGCCTTAGGAAGGGCAGAGCCAGGCCCTCTGCCCCAGCACTGCTGGCTCTTGGGGAGTAGCTCTGCTTGCGGGGGACCTTGTGCACTTCCGGACCCTTGGCAGCACCCCAGGTCTCTGCCCATAGAGGCCAGTAACACCCGTGGCCAGCTGAGACAAGCCCAGATGCCTCCAGACATCGCTGCCTGTCCCCTGGGGCTGGAGGCTGAGGCACTGCCCCTGGCTGAGAACCACTAGATTACAGGAAGTAGTAGCTGTGCCATTTCTTCTTGCTGTTGCTTGTGGTGCTGAGGATTAAACCCAGGGCCTTCGTGCTGAGCTACATCTGCAGCCAGTTTTATTTTTTGTGTTGAGACAGGGTCTCAGTAAGTTGCCCAGACTGGGGTGGAGCTTGAGAGCCTCCTGCCTCAGCCTCCCAGAATGCTGGGGTGACAAGAGTGTCCCACCACATTTGGCTTGTCTGGATTTTGTTACTCTAACACAGTGCCTGAGGCAGACTGACTTACAAGGAAAAAGGTCTGTCCACCCACGGTCTGGTGGTCCGCAGGCACAGTCCTGGCCTCCGCGCGGCTGTGGTGTGGCTTCTGTTGCCACACCATCCCAGGTGACAGTGCCAGGGCCACATGTGGCTGGAGGAAGTCACATCTCCGGACAGGAAGGCAGAGTGCCCGGGGTTGTGCCGGTCTTCCTGCAGGGCAGGCCCAGTGACCACCGTCTTTGAGCAAGACGGTGCCTCCTAACTAAGGTCCCTCCTCTCCAGTGCCCCACGTGTGGGACCAGGTCCCCGGCACCACACTCCAAGGGCACAAATTGTAGCTGCACCCCTCAGCTCGGAGGGAGGGCAGTTGCTTCCGACCCTGAGCAGCTTCTCTTCCAAAGCCAGGGCTGTGGGGACGGCGGGCGGGGCTTTCCAAAGCCAGTGTCTCCCAGCCGGAGTCCTGGACGGTTTGACTGCGTGGGGCCCCCCGGGGACAGCGCCCCTGAGAGCAGCCGCAGCATCTTCTTCCGTGCACGGCCACGCGGCTCTGTGACGCGTCGGGAAGCTCTGCGTTGTGCACAGCGGGCGGTGCCTCTCCCTCCGACGTGCCTCTGGTGTCCACGGCAGCGTGAACGTGCGCCCCTGCGTCTGGATTCCACACTTGCAGGCCCACTTGAGTCGCGAGCTGACCAAGACGAACGTCGCTGAAGCCCAGGGGTCCCCAGAGGAGGCATTTGTTTGGTCCACTGAGGCCAGTGGATGCTCTGATCTAGGGGTCGCAAGAGGCCGGCAGGAGAGACAGGAGGAGGTCAAGGTCTCAGGGGATAAAGCTCCACAGAGGGCCCCGGGTCTGTCCCCCACAGCCTTACTTCTTTTTTAGGTTTTGCCGGTGGTGGTAGCTCCTAGAAAGTGCCTCGTTTCTAAGCCAGTCTGTGTCTGTCCCGGTGGAGAATTGGTCACGTGAGGAGCTTCTCACTGGTTTTAACAGTTACTTTCTTCCGCAATCTCACCCATTCCATCACCTCTGCGTCTCATCATTTCTGTGGAAGTGTTGGCTGTTTGTCCTCTGGTGCCTCTGTGAAGATAACAGAAGTTTTTCTTTGGTTGCTTTTGATGTTCCTTTCTTGTCTGTTCTTGAAGTCTTCCCATGATGTGCCTAGGTTTGATTTTTTATCCTACTCATTGAATCTGTAGCCTCATGTCTTTCTTAAGTAGCCATTATCACTTTAAATATTTCTCCTGATCTGTTCCTACTCTTCTCCTCCCAGGGGAGGATGGTTATACTTACACACCTTTCGTGCATAGACCATTTCACCTCGTTCTGAGGGTTTTTATTTTAGAAATCGTACATAACTGTGGCGCCGATAGCCAGAGCAGAGCTTATGTCCCCCGGAGCAAGGCCAAGCAAAGACGCACCCCACCTCATAATTTCTTTTTCTCCTCATGAATTTTTTTAAATTTCATCTTCCAAGTAGGTGGTTCCAGTTGGTTTGGGGAGTGTTGGTTGGGCATGCTGGACATGTGTGAATAGCACACAAACTGCTAAGCTGGCTGAGCAGTAAGCCTGGCGATTGGAGGGATTCTTAGCTACTTTCTTGTTGCTATAACAAAAATGCTGACATGCACAGCTGAAACTAGAGGTTTACTTCCGCTCACAGTTTTCATCCATGGCCAGCTGGCTCCCAGCCAGAAATAGCATGGCAGAGGGGCATGGCGGTTGGAACACTCAACCTATGGCAGCCAGAAACAGAGAGAAAGGAGGAGCTCAGGAGAGAACACACCCTCCCCGGTCACACCCCAGTGACCCCCTCCAAGCAGCCCCACCTCCCGCCGCGCAGTCAGCCCTGCACTCTTCCTTGGACGAATCCACTGATTGGCACAGTGCCCCATCATCCAGTCACCTTCCACACACAAGAGGGCTTTGGGGGCATTTTAGATCTAAACCATAATGGGGGGCACTGTTTGGAACAGGTATGTATGTCTGAAGCCTGAGTCCTTTCTTTCCCATGTCTTTGGGATTCTTGCTTTACTCCTGTGCTTTCATTCCATTCTCTGTAAAATGAGGATGATCGTAGGATGCAGTTGTAAGTGGGGGAGGATTAAGTAGATATCACTCAGGATAGTTCTGGGCCTGTGGCAGCACTCACGGAGGGGAGTTCTTCCTGGCCTAATGATTCCACTCCTGCCTTTGCAAAGAAATGAGCAGAACTGAGACGAATGCACTGTCCTGAAGGTGCCTCCCTTCACGGGGGCTGTTGGCAGCACTACTCCCTGCTCTGTGCCAGCCGTGGCATCTGCCGTGTGCTGGTACACAGGGGTGCCCCTTGCTTCCTGCGCTGACTGGCCTTTCCCCCACAGTACGGAATGCTCCTCTACCAGAACTACTGCGTCCCTTTGGAGAGGAAAGCTGTGCTCACTCCCTTCTCCACACCGGTGGTAAGTAGAGCCGTGACCTCGCGCAGCCAAGTGCCTTCCCGCTGCCGCGTCCCTGCGGTTTGTGGACGCCCCATTTCACATGTGGTGGCCAAGAGGCTTCGGAAAAGGCGGGCACAGGCCAGGGAAGCCAGCTGGACTCAGACTCAGACCTGCTGGTTTCCAGGGTGTATGGGTTTCATACTCTCAACATCGTACATATAGGGAGGAGATTTCTCCAGCAGCTCCTCCCCAGCCCTGCACATGCACCCACGGTTACTGAGAAACATGGTTCTTGGCCTGCTCAGAGCTGTCCAGAGCAGCTCTGGCTTCCATGGAGTTACATTTCCTTCTGCTTTGGTCCTTAAGCCGGGGGCCTTTGGGCGCTGGCCATTGTGCTGAAAGTCCCTGGTGAGACTTTAAAGATTAGAAGCATGCTTCTTGTGTCCCTAGTGCGCGCCCTTGCCTCCCAGAGCTGCGGGACCTGTCATCTGAGGAGATGGCAGAGGTGTTGCAGGCAGGGTCCCGCCTTGGAGACCTGAACTGGCACAGCTGAGGGCACGGTGTGTGGGTGAGGGTGAGGCTCCCTGCTGTCTCCATGTCCTGCTGGGGTGCAGATCAGGAGCCGGCGAAGGACCACGCAGCCCAAATCCTACTGGCCCAAGAGGCCTCACAGCAGCCTTTGAATGAGAAGTTAGGAAGAGCTCTTACTCCTTCGTAAAATCTGAAGCTACGTTGAGCACAGTGGCCCTCTAACTGCTGAATTTTCAACCCGAACCAGTGATTTCTAACCTGATCTTAGCAGTTAGGGTGGGGGGCACCCCCCAAGCCCCCTACGTGCGGCATGGCTGACCCCTGGACCTCAAGAACTTGTGGTCTTTCCTTTCCAGCGCAGTGTCTCTGAGAACTCCCTGGTGGCGATGGATTTTTCTGGGCAGACCGGAAGAGTGATAGATAACCCGGCCGAAGCCCAGAGTGCCGCCCTGGAAGAGGGCCATGCCTGGCGGGTAAGGCTGGACAGGCTGCCTGGCAGGTGCTACGCCGACTTGGTGTTGTCCCAGAAGAGCGGCTGTGGGGAGGGAGGGAGAGGAGCCGCTGCAGCAGCTGGCCTGTGGGTCCCCCCACTTCGGCACCCAGGCACCCAAGCGGAGATATCAAAAACCCGGTTAAATAACCCTAAGTTATGCAGGATGATCAGGCCCACAATCTCCCAAGCAAGTGGATGAGGAAGGCTTAAATACATGCAGACAGTGGCGATGACTTTAGGGCACCAGGAGGGACTAACTCTCTTACAGCTTCAGCATTCTCTGAGTTAGCCAAACTGCTCTGGGCTGCCCATATTTATCTGGTTTACAAACAGGGGAGGGGGAATACTAAGCAAAATGCAGGAATCTGGGCAGGACTTGGGAATCCCTTTAAGGACTCCTCCAAGTAATATAGTATGTTAATTTAGGAGAACTATGTTATCTCCAGGAAGGCCTTCACAGCAGGTGTGAGATGCCTGCAGCTACAGTCTCCTTTAAGTTAATTGGGGTGGCAGACAAGGTGCCTAAACTTCAGACAACTCACAAGTAAACAGGCAAAGCCAGTTGGTTAATATTAAATCCTGCCCTGAGCCGGTCTCCAACACGGAGCCCTGTGCCTGCTTCGGCTCATGGGCAGAAATGCGCCTGCTGATGAGTAGTCTGGGGCTGCCCGTGGCAGGGCCAGGGCCAGGCGTGAAGGAGGCCGAGGGGCATCCACAGTGAGGCTCTTCCGGGAAAGGCGTGTCCCCTCCAGGGCAAAGCCCTGTGTCTCCAGATGGGAGTGTCCCACCCCCTTTCACATTTTGCTGAGACGGAACGTCCATACCGAAAGTCGAGCCCAGGGCCCTGGCTTGGAAAGTGCTCCCTGTCCCATGGCTACTGAGTGTAGGAAGCAAGGTCCCAGAGCTCGGGGACTCAAGAGCTTGCTCCGTCGCAAGGCTCCCGTTTTGTGCCGTTTGGTCAGGGTTGCATCGTGCACCCTGTGTGAGAAGCGAGCCCCTGCCTCGACATGGGATGGCAGGGGATGCCAGGGCAGTGTGGGCTGCTTTCAACCACTCTGGGCCGAGCTCTTCATTCTCGGTGGTCTGACGTGGGCGTTTCTTTTGCAGAAGCGGAGTGCGCGCATCAATATCGTGGGAAGCCAAAGTCCCCTTCACCCTTGTACCCTGAGCACAGGTAAACACGCCAGCTGCCTGAGGTTGCTGGACATAAGGACGAGGGACCTTCCTGCCCTCCCTGAGCTTCACAGTGCTGGCCGGGCTGGGGGGATCAAGGCACGGGGGCAAGCGTTGGGCTGTGCGGCCAGCAGAGCCTCACACCGGGGACGCCCTCCCCTTGTCCTCTCCCACAGTGATTCACAGGACTCAGCACTGGTTCCACGGCAGGATCACCAGGGAGGAATCACACAGGATCATCAGGCAGCAGGGTCTTGTGGACGGGTAAGGAGCCTTCACTGCGCGGTGCCCGCAGTGTTCTGTCTCATCCCTCGGACGTCTTCGCGGGGCAGGCAGTGGTTTTCGCCTCCTTTTAAGGAGGAGAAAATCTAGGCCCACAGGTGTTCCATGTTGTGCAGGGCTTGCCCAGTCCGTGAGCGGAGAAGGGGAGTCTAACCCTATCAGCCCGGCTCACGTCTAGCATTTCCTCTGCCTCTTAGATGAGGGGAACACTCAGCTAGTCAGCTAAGGCTGTGGACGCAGAGAAAAATAATTTTGCCTACATCTCTGATTATGCACTGTGTTGGCTTTTGCAGAAAGCAGCCACAGACCATAGCAGCAGAGCCCACAAAGAGGTGTTACATCTCCCGATCTTCCTTGGTTGGGAGGCCCTCTCTCCGGGCCAGCCCAGGCGGTGGAGCAGCCCCAGGCGGCTTCACTCATGTGGTGGGGAGGACTCTCGGCCAGGGTGGTGGTGCCTGCTCACAGGTTTGCAGCAGGTTACGTGGAATCATTCTTGCTCCTGTCCCATTGACTGGAGCAGAGCCCCTCCCCAGGCCACCAGCAGTATGTGACAGTTTCCCCATAGTCACTTGTATCCCAGAGTAAGGCTGCCTTGTGCATGTGTTCTCCTGAAGAGCCCAGAGCTTCCTGTGTGCACGGCAGTTAGATTTCTTTTTCTTATTGCAGTTCTCACCTGTTCTTTAACATTGCAGATGCTTTGTGATGCATCTTCCCACTCCTAAGTGATGCAGGTGATCCGTGTTATCTTCCAGTACCTGGCGTCCTTCCTTTTTTCCCTGTCTCTCTCCCTTCTGGCCTTTCTTCTCTGCTTCCCTCCTTGTTTGTTCATTCTCCGCTTCGTCATGTAATCCCTCGAAGCACCGGGAGCACACTTGCCCTCACACACGGTGGAAGAATGGGTCTTATTTTGTTTCTGTGTGGCTGTAAGATTGTCACAAAACGGCCAGCCTTCAGTGCGCTGGTGTGCAGCAGTCTCTTGCAGACCATTAGAGAAGACCTCCCCAAGCTGTGGGAAGGCTCCTTCTCTCTCGGGTTTCTGTCTTGTCAAAGGAGAAAAAAGGCAAAACCCTGAGATTTTTTTCTGTGACTTTTTAAACTTAGGGATGTGTGTGTTTCCCTAGACGTGCTTACGGCGGTGAGCCCCATCAAAGGTGGGCCCAGAGTGTTCTGCGGGGGTCCCTGCGAGCCCCTGTCTCTGTGGGACTCACTAGGAGGGCACGTGGTCCCCATGTGCACTGAAGGTGATAGGTCAGGGCCCAGAGAGAGAGAGAGAGAGAGAGGAAGACTGGGACAGAGACACAGAGACCCGGGGGTCTGGAGCGTGGGGCCACCTCCCAGCTGGGCAGCCTAGGACGCGTGCGCTTCCCCACGTTACCCGGGAGCTGTGCCACACTGCACACCACTTACGCGTGTGTGCGCCTGAGATCTGCCGCCCATCCGCGGTGCTGCTTTCTTCAGGGCAGAGGTCTGTGGAGCGAAGTGTAATTAACAGGTGAAAAGCCAGGGCCCAGAGCCCAGTTTTCAGGCTTACGATTCCTTTAAGACTCTTAGGAATTTTTTTTTTTTTTAAGTTTCCTGGAAAGGAAAAAGGCTTAAGTCACTTCTTTACCCTTTAGCTGCAGTTTTTCTTAAACATGCATTTTTAAGATGTCAGTGTACCACGTCTCCTTTCTGCCGTTTTTGCCTCCTCTGCGCTGCCCTTAGCACACAGGGTGGGTCCCACAGACGGACCCAGGCGCTTGTGTGGCAAGCACCGCACTGCGCGCGTGTCCAGTGGTGAAGGAGAAGCAGCGACCTGTAGTGGAGACAGAGGGAAAAGGCGCTCAGGCAGATCCTTGCCGGCAGAAACAAACAGGTGGCAGGAACGGGAAGGTTGTGGCAGAGGGCAGGGAAAGCAGAGCGTGTCTGGGGAAGCGACTCCCAGCCCGTGAGATGTCAGGTGTGACAAGTTCCTGATCCACCACTGAAGAACAGATGAGAGGGCAAAGGACTTGAACAGTAGGAGAAGTCTGCGAAACTTGAGAGACCGGTGGCGGAGGGAGAAGGTAGTTGCTGCTGAGGCTGTTTGGGGTTCTTGTACCTGACAGTGACCACGTCTCTGACGATCCTGGGCCAGTCCGAGGCCAATCTGTGGGGTCACAGGTGTAGTCGCTTAGCTAATATGGGTCCAGTAGGGAGGGGAGGTCTGTAACGAGAGTGTGTGGTGTAACTTCAGCTTGTCTGTAACTTCAAGCTTGGAGATCAAAGATCAGAGGCATCTCAGGAAGGGATAGGAGTCGGGGTCAGGGTGTTCTGGGCCCCCACTCAGGCGTCTGTCTGGGCTCACTGAGGCAGGTGGCGCTGGTCACAGTGCGATCTCAAGCTGGTGTCTATCTCTAGGGAAGCGTGTGGGCCTGGTTCTCTTTTAATTTGTCTCCGGCCACAATCTTGATGTGTCTCATCTTCTGTACTGACTCTTCTGAGGTCCCACTCACACTGCCTGTTAATTTTTATCTAATTTAACTGTCTAAAATAAAAGCACACAGCTAAATTCAGGCTTTGGGGTTTCTAGGGAGGTGCTCCCCAGCTCGGGCTGCTCTTGCCGGGGCTCTTGGTAAGACTGACAGGAGTGATGACCAAGGTGCTGAGTCATCCTGAGTCGAGGGCTTTCGACATGTGCCTGTGTTCAAGGTTCACTCTAATTAAGTTACAGCTTCAGCGCAAGGGTTGGCCCTGGCGTGGTGCCCGAACCCAGGTGGGTGGAGGAGAGCACCTTCCTCAGCCCTCAGTGCTCTGTCTGAAATGCTACCTCAGCACCCTAAGATTGGAAGACGGATAGGTGGGTCTGGATCCTGGGGCAGGACCCAGGCTGTGCTCTGGTTTGCACCTCGCTTCCTGTCTGCGGAAGGAAACAGCAGGAAGTTGAGTCACCGAGAAAGGGACAGCCATCCCTCCCCTCTGGTTAGATGGAGGCCTACAGACTCCTGTTCTTCTTGATAACGCTGTTTTCCTGGGAATGACAGGACTCTGGGATAAGACAGAAGCAGACAGAGAGGCTGGTCACTCAGCACCACTAACACGGTTTTGGGGTGTTGTGGTTTTCCCATCTTTTCCAGGCTCTTGTTCCCCTGAACAAAGAACTGGACAGGAAATGAGGTGGAGAGGTTTTACATTTATTAAAGATATTGAAGGTAGGAAGGAAGTATGCTCTGCAGAGTGAGTGTAGGGCACTTAAAGGCAGGAAAAAAGGTGAAAAAGCTCACAGTGGCCGCGAGGGTTATGGCTGCCATCTTGTATGCCCTCATTCTGGCATCAGATCTAGGCCATCGTATCAAAACCTGCTTGATGTTGAGCCATAAGAACTGAAGATAGCGTGCTCTTGACGGTTCCAGGTGCAGGCTTGGAAGCTGTTCCGAGGGTGTGTCCTGGCTCTCCATGATTGACAGGCCATGCCTATTTGTCCAGCCTCTTTGCCGTGCCCTAATCTCTTGCCTCTCTGTGGCCCAGGAGAAGAGACAGCGCCCCTTGCTCCCCTCCTGCCCAGGGCATGTTCCACAGTAGGATCTGTGATTCTTAACTACCAGCCCTTCCAGCCTGACCAAGCCAAACCACAGAATTCCCCTCTGGTTGGTGTTTCCTACAGTGTATTCTAAAACTCACAAATTCCTGCAAAGTGATATTCAGAAGGAGTTGTTCAGTCATACAAGCTGGAGCTCTTTGTGGTAGAAGCCCCTTGAAGAAGCTCAGTGGTATTTATATCCTAAAGGCTTTGAAAAGACCTGTACTGAAGTCCATGATGAGTATTTGCATTTTGAACAGCTCAAAGAAATGCCCTTAGTAAAAACCAAAATCAACAACAACAGCAACAAAAAAGACCTTTTAAGTAAGGATTTTCCAATCTTATTTAACTGCTTTCCATTTTAACACACAATCTAGAAACTAGTGGTTTAGCTGATGACCAGAATTTTGTTTCTAATTTCTTCCTTCTCAGACCATTTATTCTTTGGAACTTGGTTAGGACTTTGACGGATTTTTTTTCCCTTCCTTTCAAATATATAACTCTTTATCTTCTCGGATAATCCAGATTTGCTCACTTGTGCTTTTGTTCTTTTTTTTTTTTTTTTGTTTTTTTTTTTTTTTTTTTTTTTTTTTTTTTTCATGTTTTGGCAACTGTAGAAACATCACTCTTAAAACGTTTTGTTTTGTTTACTACTTTG